CAACTACAAATAATATATATATATATATATATATATATATATATCTTTAAGCTGATAGCTAATTAAAGCGTTTGTTTAGTTATTTAAATTAAAAAATAATCAGAGTAGATGGAAACAAAAGGCGTTAGAATAATTAATTACATTTCTAAGAGTCTAAAGTATTGAATACGTTTCTAGAATATTACATTAGATTGAAATAATACATTATATACAGCTCAGAGGTAAATATAAAACATACATTTTGTTTGTTCATAATTAAGCACAAAGCTACACAATGGGCTATCTGTGCTCTGCCCACCACGGGTATCGAAACCCGGATGCTAGCGTTGTAAGTCCGTAGACATACCGCTGTGCCACTGGGGGGCAAATACATACATGATCTCTGTTTTCAGAATATTTTTTTTATTATTATTAAATATTACTCTTTACTACTACTTCTAGAATTTGTTGAAACTAACTCATAATTTATTCATCAAACAAATTCACAACTTATATTGCTATAACATATATATATATATATATATATATATACTAGCTGCCTGACCCGTCAAAAAATGACGGGTGGAAGTTTTGTAAAAAAAACCATGCAGATACCCATTGAAAGAATTCAACGGTAATTTTCCTGATTGTTAGTGATGAATAAAAAAATGTGAAGTCAACTCAATTCCTTGTAATATGTATATATATGCAACGTGATTGTCTAGTGGACCTTTTACAACCGTCTTTTGTCATCCAATGTGTTATTTCAATAAGGAAAGTTTCATTGTGTTCATTTTTAAGCAAAGAAGACCGAATACAATGTATCGTTGGTAAATATGTTTAGGTTTTTGTGCAATGAGCGTAACTAGCATTAGTCACCATTTCAAGGTGGACTTTGGTCGCTAAATGTTTCCAAGAGGACATTGGTCATTAAGCTTTTCAGAGTGAATATTAGTCACCAAACGTTAGAGAATGAACATTGACCACTATTTCACAGCGGACTTTGGTCACTAAACGCCCCAGAGTGGACATTGGTCACCAGCTGTGTCATGGTGGACTTTGGTCACTAAACGTGTCAGAGAGGACATTAGTTACTAAACGTTTCAGAGTAGACATTGGTCACTAAATATTTCAGGATAGACTCTGGTCACTAAACGTTTCAGAGCATACTTGATATATATATATGATCACTAAATGTTTCACCAAAATCCACTTTCAATACATAAACTAACAACGATATCAGGTCATAACATAAAAGCCACTGTTTGAACGCAGCGTTACGAAAAGACATTGGCTTATATATATATTGTTACTCAATACCTTGCCTGACATGCACTCTTGAAATTTGTTTGTTTTTGCTTTTTTTACGGAAAAATTGCGCTACTTTTGAGTTGTTACTCTACCGGACGTATAAAGTACTTAAAAAGCCGTAACGTAAAATATTTAGTACCCCAAAAAATGCATTCTGGAAATAAAGTCTCTTTATGCACTTAACTGTGGAAAGCATTTTACTTTGGTTGGGCAAATAGCCACAATACT